CGGCTCATGAATGAAGTCTTAAGGCCTTTCAATGGCAAGTTCATTATTGTATATTTTGACGACATTCTGATATATAGTCAGAACCAGGAAGAACACCTAAGGCATCTAAAGTTGATATTGCAAACTCTTCAGAAACACAAGTTGTACATCAACTTAAAAAAATGCTCTTTTATGGTTGAAAAACTTGTCTTTCTTGGCTTTGTGATTAGTGCAGATGGAATACGAGTTGATGAAGAAAAGGTGAGGGCAATACGAGAATGGCCGACTCCAACGACCGTGGGGGAAGTTCGAAGCTTTCACGGTTTAGCCACCTTTTACAGAAGGTTTATTAAAGATTTTAGTAGCATTGCAGCTCCCATCACTAATTGTTTGCGTAAAGGAAATTTCAAATGGGATGAGGTGGCTAATGCTAGCTTCAATGAACTAAAGGAGAAAATCACATCTGCCCCTGTTCTTGCATTGCCAGACTTTAACAAAGTTTTCGAAGTTGAATGTGATGCCAGTGGCGTGGGAATAGGTGCTGTGTTGTCTCAAGAAAAGAAACCAGTGGCATTCTACAGTGAAAAACTAAGCCCAGCTCGTGAAAAATGGTCTACTTATGAACAGGAACTCTATGCAGTGGTACGAGCTTTGCAGGTTTGGTCTCATTATTTAATGCCTCGTGATTTTGTGATTTACTCAGACCATGAAGCTTTAAAATACTTTCAAAATCAGAAACACATGAACAAAATGCATGCAAGGTGGTCATCTTTCCTTGAGCAATTCTCCTTCGTGATTAAGCATAAATCTGGAGTATCAAATAAAGTGGCTGATGCCCTTAGTAGACGAAGGAGCCTGTTGATCACATTGCAAAGAGAGCTCATTGGGTTTGAACTACTAAGGGACCTCTATGATTTTGATGAGGATTTCAAAGAAATATGGAAGAAAGCTCAACAACACAACTCAACTCAAGACTTTCATATTTTAGATGGATATCTGTTCAAAGGAAATCGCTTATGCATCCCAAGGACATCTTTACGGGAAAAGCTCATTAGGGACTTGCATGGTGGAGGTTTAGCAGGGCATATGGGCAGAGATAAAACGATTGCTAGCCTAGAAGAGAGGTATTATTGGCCACAATTGAAGAGAGATGTGGCCACCTTTGTGAAGAGATGCTCTATTTGTCAAACCTCTAAAGGGCATGTGCAGAATACTGGTCTTTATACACCTTTGCCAACTCCAGAGAATATTTGGGAAGATTTATCCATGGACTTCGTGCTTGGCCTTCCCAAAACACAGAGGGGAGTAGATCCGGTGTTTGTGGTGGTGGATCGGTTCTCCAAAATGGCTCATTTCATCCCTTGTAAAAAAACTTCTGATGCTGTTCATGTGGCCCGACTATTTTTTCAAGAGATTGTTCGTCTTCACGGTGTCCCTCGATCCATAACATCTGACAGAGATTCAAAATTTCTCTCTCATTTTTGGACGACTCTTTTGAAGCGCTTTGATGCAAGTTTGAATTTCAGTAGTTCTGCGCACCCACAAACGGATGGTCAGACTGAGGTCACAAATCGTACTCTCGGGAATTTGATCCGGTGCATTTGTGGAGAGCATGTTAAGCAGTGGGATTTTGCTTTGTCACAAGCTGAATTTGCATACAATAGCTCTGTTCATATGTCCACTGGGCGTTCTCCATTCTCTGTTGTGTATACAAAAACTCCACGCCATGCTGTAGACCTTCTTCACTTACCGAAGGTTGATGGGATACACAAATCTGCCTCAAACATGGCTGAACAAGTCAAGAATGTCCATGAAGAAGTTAAGGCAAAGTTGAGCGCTTCAAATGCCAAATATAAAGCTGCAGCCGATAAAAAGCGCAGACAACAATTGTTTCAAGTTGGAGAACATGTGTTAATATACTTACGCAAGGAGAGGTATCCTGCAGGCACTTTTCACAAACTCAGTCCAAAGAAATATGGCCCATTTGAGATTCTACAAAAGATCAATGACAATGCCTATGTCGTGAACATACCAGATGACTAGAAGATTTCGAAAACCTTCAACGTTGCGGATATCTTCAAGTTTTATCCTGGCCAAGAGTTGTATCCAGATGAAGCTAACTCGAGGACGAGTTTTTCACAGGTAGGGGAGTATGATGGCGTTCACACAAGCAACACAACACAAGGAACCTGAGTAATATCTGTTTGGAGGCTCAAGAATCTTTTCCCTAGATTATATTAAATGCATTTTCATTTTCCATGTGTCTTTTACAATTCCTAGAATTTGAATGTTACGTTGCTTTGTTTTATGCCTATATATTAGGCCATTTTGTAACCAGAAGAGGGACTTGAAAATTATTATGAATGTACTTCCTGTTTTGTTCTAATGAATCATTAGAATTCTTTGTTCAGCTACTGCGTTCTGCATCAGCAACACAATTAATAAGAGAAATATATATTATGGAACAGTGGATTGCTGAAATCTACGCTATTGAGAAATATAGATCACTCATTAGGACTGTGACACTGTATAATGTTTACAATGTTGGCTGATCATGTTTTGGAAGCTCCTGATTATGTGTGGAATGAATGCAGAAACAAAGGTTTTTTTATATAATAATTACAATTAATCCATTCATATATAGAGGAGGAGGGAAAAAAAAGTAAAGGCGATATGGTGAAATGGAATATATTTAAGGTATAAAAGTATAATTGCACAGATATTAGTATAATTGACTAATAATTATTATGGTAATTAAGCTAAACATGGATCGTTGGATTTATTTTTATAATAATTACAATTAAATTATTTATCCTTTTTTTCTCATATTTATTTTAGTAATAATATAATTATAGAAATCATATCACATTTTGAGTTTTTAAGGTAATTGCAGACAAACGAGTCATATATTATTCAATTAATTGAGTGATACTTTTACACTAATCTTAGAGCATCTCCAACGGGAGGCCAATTTTAATCCCCAAAACACCATTCCTTCAAATTTCACTCTCCAACGTGCGTCGCCATCGCGCTATAACGCCAAAGGGAATGTCGTTAATGAACAGTGCAGCACTATATTTGGCGCTGCACTATTCATCCGCGCTATAATGCCAAAATGTCCCTTTTGCCCATGCTTTTTTTTTATTTTTTATAATTTCAAGTATATCCTTTAATTTTTTATTTTGTTAAATACTTATATTTAAACTTTGTATTATTAAATAAAAATTATACCATTTTAAAGATCTCATTAAGACGATCAAAACAAGACTAATATTAAATATATATTAATTAAAATTCCAAATACATTAAACATAACTAGAACATAATAAAAGTTAAAATACGTACGACATACATCAAACATGACTAGAACATAATAAAAATTAAAATGCATACGACATAATAATAATATTAGAAAATACAACACAATTTTGAGCAAATATAATAAAATTAATAATTTCCTAGTCCACTCCCACTTCCTCCCAAATTATCAAAGAATTTATCAAATTCACGATTTGATTCAACTCCTCCTCCATGCTCTTGATTTCTCTCTGCAACAATTTGTAGTTGTTGGCATCTAATCGACTCACGCACAGCTGGATCTTCTATCAAATTTAAATTCATTCTTAAGATTTTGTTATCTTCTTTTCGTTTTGCTAATGCCATTTTTTCTTTTCTCAATGTTATTTTGTTCGCATCATTTTGAGCATTAAGCAAATCAAGCTCATATTGTTTTTGGAGTAGCTCATGATTGTTTTCGAACATTCCTTTGAATTGTGCAGTTTGTTGTTCTATTGCGGCAATAAATTGATTGCGCTCATCCGAGAGTTTATGCTTCATCTTTTTCTTCTTCCTTCCCGTAGGACGTTCACCTACATTGTTCATTTCATTACAATGTTCATTAGTTTCAAAATCATCAGCAAATGAGGAAGAGCATATTGACTTCTCGGTTCCGAAAGATTGTGATTGTGATCCTTCTGAGAATATTATATTTCAAGAATTTCTTGCTCGGCATAGACAAATTAAAGATAAAGAAGCTCATTATGCACTCCGTAATGCATTGATTGAGCATTTGTGGGAACGATTTAGTAATTCCGATAATTAAATGTACTAGATGTTGTATGTTGTATTATTATTGTGGAATAAATTAAATTTTCAAAAATATTGTTAAATTCAATTTTTTAAAATAGTTAATGTTATAAAAAAAATTAATGTTAATAAAAATTATTATTTACATTACAAATTATATTTTATATTAAACTAATTAACTTCGAACTAAATTATATTAAACTAACTAAATTCGAACTAATAATTGAAAAATAAAATTATTTTAGTGTAAAAGTTTGGTGTTTTGGTGTAAATGGGTTGGAGATGAATAAAATTTGGTGGGAGAATATGCTGAGAATATTCCTTCTGATGTGACATTTGCTGGAAAAATTTGGTGTTTTGGAGATGGAGGGGTTGGAGATGCTCTTATAATCAAATAAATGTATATTTTCAAATATTAAAATTGTTTATAATTTCATCTTTAATTTTATTATCTAAATATATAATTAAATAAATTATCCGTGCATCGCATGGGTAATTGGACAATTATTTAATTGAATTCAAGCAAGGATAACATAAAAAAACATAATCGATCCAACTCATTTCAACAATTGCACAATATAATATTTGTTATTATAACTTATATAATTGTATATCGATTCAAATATTCTTAAATATTATAACAAATCAATTTCGTGCAACGCAAGAGTGAAAATACTAGAATTTTAAGAATATTTGAGTCGATATACCATACAATTATATAAATTATAACAACAAATATTATATTGTGAAATCTATTTAATATTAAAAATACAACAACATTAAAATTCATATCCCTATTTTTCCGTCAAGACTCAATATTGAATCAATGATATTTAGTTTACTCCAATATATTTATTCGACTTTGTTATTTACTTCTCATTATTTATAAATAAACTAATTTATTTATTTTTTATATTTTTTTCTTTTAAGAGTTGATGTTATCGGATTCAGATATAAATACAGATTGCTTTGGTGGGGAGTTAGAGAAGTTGCTATCTTTGTGGGGGAAGAGCATGAAAGACTTTTCAGAAATGCTAATTCCAGACGAAACTAGCATATGTTTGAGTGAAAACATGTTGATAACTGAAGAGTTAGCATATGACAAGGAACCGTTGAAGACAAAACATAAAACATTGGTAACACAATTGACCGACGAGCAAATGAATGTTTACGGCTCTATGATGAATGATATTTATTCCAATGGAGGTGGATTGTTCTTTGTGTATGGTTACGGAAGAACATGCAAGATGTTCGTGCGGAGAACGTTATCGTCAAAGATAAGGAGCCACGATGATATTGTTCTAAATGTTGTTTCTAGTGGAATAGCATCTTTGCTCTTGGCCAGGAGGCAGGATAGTGCATTCCAGATTTCCTATACCACTTTGACCTTGTTGAGCTTATAATAAGGAGCAAATTGATAATATGGGATGAAACACTAATGACGCACAACCACTATTTAGAGATTTTGGACAAAACCATGAGGGATCTATTGGCGTTCATCGTACCGAGTAGTGCTGAAAAGACTTTTGGTGGAAAGACAATAGTTTTGGGCGGCGATTTTAAACAAATCCTGTCGGAGAAAATATTAATTCTTCATACGTGTGGACAAATTGCAAGGTACTAAGGATCACCAAGAACTTAATTGAGACTATGGACCTTAGCTTCAGAGGAAGATAGACAGACGGTTGATTGGTTTTCAAAATGGATTGCAGACATCAGAGATGAGATTACAAGGTTTGTAAACAACGGTTCATTTGAGATCGATATTCCAACATAGTTTTTGTTGAAGTGTGGACACAATCCCATAACAACTATAGTGGAAAACACATTCCCAAGCTCGAGATATGACATGCTTGATGAGTCGCAGCTAGAAGGCCGAGCGATCCTCTCGCCGACTTTAGATGTCGTTGATCAAATTAATTAGTACATGTGCAACATGAATACTACAGAAGGACGAATATATTTAAGTTGTGACTCTTTGTGTAAGGCAGAATCAGATAGTGAAAATGTATCAGAAGTACACACTCCTGAATTCTTAAATAGTTTGAGATTGTCGGGTCTTCATAATCATTCATTGACATTAAAGGTCGGCGCACCTGTTATGTTATTGCGGAACATAGACCACTTTCTTGGTCTTTATAACGGGACGCGACTCATCATCACAAGATTGGTAGATCACATTGTCGAAGCAATAGTTAATGGGACACATGAAGGAACCAAAGTTCTTATCCCTCGAATGTCTCTCACTCCTTTTGATACGGGATTGCCCTTCAAGTTCCAGTGTAAACAATTACCGTTGATGCTTGCATATGCCATGACTATCAACAAAAACCAATGTCAAACACTATCTCACGTTGGGTTATTGCTAAAAAAATGGTCTTTAATCACGGACAATTGCACGTGGTTTTCTCCCGAGTCACCCATCCTGATGGCCTGAAGATGTTAGCTCTAGACAAGGATGGACAAGATTGTGTTGTGACTACCAATGTCATCTACAAAGAGGTTTTCAATAATGTGTAAATACAATCGATGATATGATGTTTGTTTGTTTGTTTTTTTTTTTTCCAAAATGACAAAATTGCTATATATCTAGACACAAATATATCCTTTATACAAATGAATTAGGATAGAAATTGATTACTATAACTAAGTTGCTAGAGAACGAGCACATTTGTCCAATCACTACCAAAAAAAAAAAAAATCATAAACAATGATATATAAAAATCTCTAAAGTTATAGCACCGCATGCATACATCTACACATTAACTATTAATTTGAGCAATTACTTGCTCGAATTCAAGCAATGATAACATCAACAAACATAAACGATCCAAATCATATCTTCAATTGTAATATATAACACTCCGTATTTGATGCTATAATTTAAATAATTGTATATCGATCCAAATATTCTTAATATATTATAACAAATTCATTCCGTGCATCGCATGAGTGAAAATACTAGTTGGAATTAAAACATTTGATAAAATTAATTATTGAATTAGCTAATAAATGTAAAAAGACATAAAAGGATAAACTAAGATATTATAATTTTGATTAATGAAGGGTAAATAGTGTCATTTTTGTGATTTAGTAAAGATTAAAAAAATTAAAAAAAAAAATTTAAAAGGCTAAAGCTTATTTTCAAATGTTATTTAGGCTAGCGTTTCAAAATAAACTACTATTTTAAATTTCTCATATTTTAGTGAACAAAGCTGAGCTTATAGCTTATTTTTATTTTAAAATAAGTTATAAAAATAAGCTCTACCAAACGGAGCCAAAAACTTAAGCTTTAAAATTTAGAAATAGAAAAAGATGGTAAAATCTTATTCATTTTCTTCAAACAGAGATATGAAGATGGACAATCTAATCACTACAGAGAGAGTTCATCCTGCAATTAGTTTCAGACAGACACAACATTCCAAAGCAGAAATCTTAGCAATGAAAAAGGTAAAAGACAGGCAAGCATAAAGAGAGGAGAAGAAGATGAAATCCATTCAAACTGGCTCCTGGCTTGTTAGATTCAAGCTGAAATCCCAAAGTTTCTTCGCCAACTCTGCATCGGTAGCAAGCGAGCTCGGCTGTGAAATGTTGCTGTCACAAAAGTACTCGCCGCTTAGCCCTTCAACCTGTGGATGCAATGCGACATAGCACGTAGTTGCAGCGCCCTAGATATGATCAACGAGAAACCACGTTAAGAAAAGATTCAATCGAGATCCTATTCGTTGGTTGAATCCAGAGTCGTTATTCTTCAACGAAGGATCGAAAGACAAGACGCACCTGTGGGATGTTTTTTATGACGTATTTCCCAATCCAGTTAACAATCCCTGTGAGGAGTTGAAACCATTTGTTTTTTATGGCATTACTATTTTTGAGCATATATAATATAATATATAAATATAAATGTGCAATCCAACTGTCAGCTTATGCTTTTAGTTCTTCTGAGGTTCAAAACCTCGAGGGCACTTCCCTTGCAGATATCGTAGCAATAAGAAAAAAACAAATCTTACGAGAGGCTTCTAAGGTTTACCATCGAAGAAACCATTATGACGCAGAAGATTGGTGGCGATTGCTCCAGGATGAAGTGAATTTGCAGTTACCCGTGCTCGTTCTTCCTATACTCAGAGAAAGACGGGAACTTAGAGACAATGTAATGGAAATTCCTTACATGACAAACGCACTCACAGAAAAACGACATTTTCACTTTTGGTCCCATGACTACTACAGATTTCCTTATTTGGCCAGCATTGTCGCCTTTTTCTCCTATCAGTTGTCTATTGTTTCTCCTAGCGTCTATCATCATTTAAAACAATTCTCGACTTCCCATTTCCTTTTCGGGAGAAATGTGAACAAGGGTCATTAACAAAAGTATACCAAAACGATACACAAAGTATTGGTAATATATCTATGCATTAGTTACTTCATAGCGTTTAGTAATAGTATTACCATCAAGCGCCTTGCAAGTTCAGTAGCGTGCAATATGTTGGCGAGCTTCGATTGCCCATAAGCATATATTCTATTATAACTGGAATGACACAAAACGGAAAAGATAAAATAACTTGGGAGTTGAAAGGACAGAATCCAATACCAGATGATTCTAGGTGAAAAGTAAAAGAAAGAAAAAGTTAACTTAGAATATCATCATTGCCTACCTTTTTTCATCATTAATTTTGTTGAAACGAATTCCTTCACTGTATGGTAATTGATGCGCATTCGATGAAACATTAACAATCCTTCCTTCTTTGCGGCACTCATAAGCTGTCCGTTTCATCTTTTCCAACAATAGATTCGTCAAAAGAAAATGACCTGCACAAACCGCTCTTAAAATTGTATTATGCATTTATGCTCGATTGAAAGGTCCTCGTACCAGGTGATATGTTTTCTACAATTTGCTAGTTTAAATATGTAAACCAAATGTCAAACGTTAACTCACTTACCAACGTGATTAGTTGCAAATTGCAACTCTAAGTTGTCTTGTGAGAGTATGAATGGCGTAGCCATAACCCCTGCATTATTACTTCGAAAACCAAAATCATTGTTATCGTTTTTATGGGGAAACATAAGCATCTCGATAACTCCAATCAATGGTTAAATGTTGTATGATTGCCTTACATGAGGAGGTTCAAGGGCAAACCCGAGGCGTTATATTCTGACACGAACTTCCTAACAGACGCCAGGGAGCTAAGATCCAATTCCATGACATTGACTTTAGCATTAGGAGTCTCTTTAACTATTCTTCTTGCAACTGCTCTACCGCTTTCTAGATTGCGAACTGCCATAATTACATGTACGCCACGCAAGGCTAGGACACGGGCAGTCTCTGCTCCAATGCCGCTCGAGGCTCCTGAAATATGCAGACAACAAGGACCAATATTAGACTCGAATATGGGGTTTGGCTGGTAACCAGAGCCCACGCTACTGAAAATTTTCCTATTATATATTCATTGTCTGCCTCGTTTCGTGAAAATCAGAAAGTGCAAATATCCAAATGACAACCAGTGAAAAGTCAGGACCTTTGAACATCTACATTGATAAGGCTCACAAGAACCATCTTCCCTAGTTCTGAGATTCTAGGCATGAAAGACTTCATCCATTTTAAGTCACCAAGAACACAAAAATCAGGACACCATGATATACTCCCCAAAACTGAGGCCACTGATACATACATACATATGTCAAAGAAGAATACTAAACAAATGTATGCACAGCTAAGTTGGTTCTTGAGTGGTAGATTGTGGACAAAAGCACATGATAGAGCCATAACTCTCACAGAGTCACAGTGTGGGAGTTACAGCTAGTGTGGTATTGTGGTGGGCTTCCTCCCACCACGGGTCCACTATCTTGTCGGGCCGAAGTGTGAAGGCCCCGAGGATCAGCCATATTTCTCACACTGTGGGAGTTACAGCTAATGTGGTGGGCTTTAGCCTTCAGGCACTGATCCTCCCACCATGGGTCCACTATCTTGTCGGGCCAGAGTGTGAAGGCCCTGAGGATCGAGCCATATCTCTCATAGTGTGGGAGTTACAACTAATGTGGTGGGCTTCAGCCACTGGTCCTCCTACCATGGGTCCACTATATCTTGTTAGGCTGGAGTGTGAAGGCCCTAAGAGAATTTCACATTTTCTGGACAAGAATACTAAACAAATAATAACACTAGAAAGAAACTATGATTCATTAACTGTCTTGCAATTACTTCTTCTAGGTATATGAAAGTCTAAAACCACCATTCAAGAGTCTTTTCTCTTTCTTCATTTTGCTCCTCACTAATAAAATCAACCTCTAGCTTGTAAAGACCTTTCCTTTTTCCCTTTTTTTTTTTTTTTTTTTCTTCCAGGAAAAGAAAACATTATCTACCATATTGTATGAACATAACAAGGATCAAAGAAAAAAAAATTTCTTTGCCCATCACCTAAACCCCTGATCATTGCATACAATAAGTTGAGCAAAATAACAGAAGATAGTAAAAATTAATGAGACAACTCATAAGTGGAAATTGGAACACTTACAATAAGATACAGAAAACCCAGAAAGTAAAAATTAAGTACACAGAAGACAAGAAAGAATTAAGGGACCTGTAACAATGGCAATGAGGTCAGTTCCATCAATCCCTTCGGTAACTTCTTCGGCTGTTGATGAAGCTGAGAACCCAGATTCCCCTTTTATCCCAAAAATCCACATTTCTTGTTTCTGAGAAAATTGATCACGAATCAAACTACGTATTCAACACTGTGAACTACGTTGTGGCTTCATCTATACGACATTGTTGCCGAGCAGTTTTGCTTTTTATTGGGGGAAAAAAGGCGGCTTTTTTCTAGAAGAAATTGCACATTGGGTCCTCGAACTTTGAGATTTGTTCGAAATTAGTTCGAAGGTTTAAGGTTATAGAAACTTCTTGAACGCATGCCGGCCCACACTTCCCCTCCCCACGCCGAGAAATCGGTGGCCGGCAACCATGCAAGGGTTTTGTGGCAGCATGAGAGAAATATAAACTTTTAAAAAATGTTTTGAGTTTTACGGATTTTTTTTTTCTTTTTTGAGGATATCTATGCAGATTGCAGAAGATAGATTGCCTCAACAGAGAGAAGAAAAGAGAAAAATCCAAACATATATAACTATATAAGCAAGCTCTAGTGCAAATAGAGGTAATGATTTGTGTGAAAATTGTGTAGAATGTGTCTTTTTAGTCACGAGTGGTCATTATTTAGAGGTGTATATTAAGTAAATCGGTAAAAGATCACAAGAAATTAAATTAATAGGGGTGATTATAGTTCTGTTTGAACTGAATCAAAAATTGTAACAATCGAACTGAAATTGGAGAGATGGTTACGGTTTGTTGGAACTTTTGTTCTGATTCTGATTTATTAAAATCGGGAAATAGAATAGTTAGTTTTGATTCTGAACTGGGAAATTTTTTTTTAAAAATGAATTTGGACTACTCTAAAAATGAAAAATAGAATTTATTTTTATAGAGAGTTCGAACTAGAGGTTCAAAGTGAAATCACACTGAATTAACCATTCAAAATTAGAATCGAATCGCGGTTATATCTATAAACTAGCATAGATTGTCTATAACTGATCGGCTCAATCAAAAAGTCCAATAATCCACTCCTGTTAAAAGTCAAATTTGTTACATTGTAGTTACCAAATCATTTGTCTAATCAACTTGACTGTAATTGTCCCAAACAATAAAATTAAACAGTGTGGAGACAGTTGAAATCTACAGACTTCGAGTAGAGCTTTTGTTTTGTGACGATTCATGAAAAGTTGAAAATTGGTTTTATGATGAATTTCACAGCCATTTGAATGTATGGAACTATGAAACAGTAGTAAATGGAATGCAATTATCAAGAATTTTATTTTTTGGTATATCTAGCACCAAGCCTGAGTTGCATGACATTCTTTTAAATGTTGTTGCAGTCTGGATTTTATCCTTCTAAAAAAGGATTGACACGTTGTTGGAGATACTTACAACTGTCGTAAAGTAGAGCTATTATTTTTTTTTTGATTGGTCAATCTGACTATGCTCGAGATATGAAAGTGGATATTCTTAAAAAGGATTGCACCCCAATGGTTTACACGTTCCCTAAGATGCTTACGACTGCCAGCAAATAATTGGTCAATTTAACTATGATTGGGATGCAAAAGTGGATATTTTGAAAAGCATTGCACCTAAATGGTTTACACATTCCTCAAAATTCTTACACCATGTCAGCAAAGTAGAGCTATTAACTTTTTTTGATTGGTCAATCTAAGTTATCTAACTATGATTGGGATGTGAAAGTGAATATTATGAAAATCGATTGCACCTAAATGGTTTACACATTCTCCAAGATACTTACAACTGTCAGCAAAGTAGAGTTATTAACTCTTATTTATTGTTCAATTTAACTATGCTTGAGATGTGAAAGTGGATTGATACACACCCAAGGGAATGGGTGGTTTACTCACGCAAAAAAAAAAGGTAATCAAAACAAGATTGGAAAGCAAGAAATCTGGACAGCAAATCAGGCAAATCAAACAATCAACACACTGATCAAGGGACAAGCTTAAATCATGCAACCTGACAGAAATAAATCAGCTTCTCAATTATCTCCCTTTACTATATTTATTTTATGCATTGCATTATAAATTGTAACCTCCTCAAGAGAGGAGGGCATCCAATAATCTTCCTTAGTCTTTAAGCTTTAGTAGCTAGGCAAGAGGCTAAAACTCTTGTGGGGCAAGAGCCTAAAACTCTTGTTGGGGAAAGTCTTATGACTTCCTATTTCTTTTCTTTAGTTTCTAGTCAATAAAAATACCTCCATTCTTTTTTCTAACATGGATATTCTAAAAAAAAATTGCACCTCAATAATTTACACGTTCTCCAGAGATGCTTATGACCAGGCCCTCTTTGAATTGGTCAATCTAGCTATGCCCAGGCCCTGGGGATTGATACAAGTTACTTTTTTACATCATACACCCTAAATTAGCACAAAAGTTATGAATTTAGCTAAAACAATTCCTTGGGGACATGAAACTAGGAGTACTACATATGATGAACAAACAAACCTGCACTCTCCTAAGCTCATTCAACTGTTAGACGAAAGTCAGGAGAGCCTGTGAGAGCTTTATCATCCTCTGCTGGGGAGAAATTCCAATGCTGCTGATGATCCTTCTCTTTGCTCAACGCCCGCCAATCGTCGATGTGTACCAATCTCTCTGAACATGAACTTGGGAGTAGTCTGTGGTTTAGAATCTCTAAAATCTTCCCAGATTTCCCCAGAAGCAAAATGGCAAAGCGGACTCGAGTCTCCCTCTCTTTGATGCTGCCCTGGTGGCATAGCATGAATATAACTCGGGGAATGTTGGTGAGACATGCCCCTACTATACCTGTTATCATGTCAGACAGTCTGTGGAACATCATGGTATTGTTGTTCTGAGGTTGTTCGTTTTCGTTTGTTAGCAGAAGAGCTTGGCATGTTCTGTACATGGAGTTAGCTGCAAGGATCTTTGCAGGCCACTTTGAAGGGGATTCTGCAAAGCAAATCGTTACGTCTTTCTGTTTGTATTCCAAGTATCTCTGCTTAGCTTCCTCAGAAAGGGCTTTGAGAACAGATTGTGGGCTGTCTTTTCCCATCTTTTGGAGGTCCAAATCGAGCCATTTATAGTGCAGATCGACGCCAATCCATACCATCTGTGCAGCCTTTCTGAGGTTAGTCAAGTCTCCATTTGCATCGAGCTTGTCCTCGAGAAATCTCATGTACAAAACCGCCTCGTTTACACACGATTTCAGCTCTTTGCTCAAACCGGGGTCGTTTCCAGAGAGGGCAATGGCAATGCTGGCGAGTGTGACAACGGGGAGAGCCCAGCAGTTGGGAGGTTCTTCAGAGTCTAGTGAAGGGATATGGTCATAGTCGAAATGGTTCACTCCCATGAACCCTTTCGTTGGGCACCAATTCTGCAGAAATTTGATGAGATTCTTCGGTTGCCTCTTTTTCTCCGTCTTGATCCAGTGGTCACTCACATCAAAGTTGCTCTCCATCATGAAATCTTGCAGTGTTTCCTCCCCTTCGAGATGCAAAACGTAACGACTAAGATCTGGCTTCGATTCGGGCTCTGAATCATGGCTTTCTATAGAGTTCGTGTCTCGTTTGATCAATCTCCTAAGGCCTATTAGCAACCAACTTACCCAGAAAAGAGAAACCATCCTAACCAGCTTGCTTAGACACACTGTTCCAATTTGCATCCAAATGCAGAAATCCAACAGATTTTCCTTTGCATTGTGTGCAAATTTTCTGACAAATCGACCTCGTTTTCTCAGGTCTAAAGGGGACTCTTTCCACAGAACCAAACTCCTGATCCAATAGTCCTCAACCTTAACCTTGTAATGGCAGGCTTTAGTGACTTTTTTCGGGCAACGAAAATTAATGGACTTGAACCACCTAAACCCCGGGGCGATTGTGCCTACTACTATTGCCACTGTCTGAGCCACAAGAATCAAAGTGGTAGACCACTTGTAATCAGACTCTCCAGTGCAGAACTCAAACGTCCCGGGCAGCATATACGAACGAAGCATGGCTTCAGCACATATGACCGTGCTGAGAAGGCAAAACGCACCCGAAGCAGTGCAGGTTACTAACCGGCTAGCCACGAATTGAGGGCTACAAGTGTGTGCCATCATCCAATATTTCATCAGCTCATCTTTCAGTTTCTCGGGCCTAAACTCGCCATGCCCGAGGCAACACTCTTTCTGTGCTAACTTGTACTTCTTGCTGTACTTCAAATCGAAATACGACCTCGTTGTGGGAACTGTAAGAGCCGAGGAAATCAACAGCAGAAACAGGATGAGCATGATTAAGATAACTGCAGCATGCTCTTTCCAGAATGTGTAAATCACACCGGTTCCCAATTGGATCCCAATGTTTACTATGACAGTAACTACAAAAATCCCCAAAGCCACAATGTTCATCATCAGCTCTTTGTACTCCATGGCTGCTAGAGAAGGCATCGAGTTAGACATTAGCGTGCAGATCAAAACGCCACTGGTGAGTTTCGCTAGCTGATCCTGGTGGCGTGGCATCGAGGAGTTGAGATCGACGGATAATTTGGTGGCAACTGCAATGATGGCTAAGGTTGTGGCATTGAGGGAGAAGAATTTGCAAGGGAACCAGAATTTCCTGTGGCGTAAGCCGTGGAAGACATCAGTAGCCATGGCTGCAGCACAGGCTGCAGATGCTACTGCTACATAGATTCCAATCCATGGCATCGGCTCGCTGTACCGAGATTCATCCAGGTTGCCATCCACAGTGCAGCCCTGTGGCATCTTTTCTGCAGAGAGATCAAGATTGTTCAATCTGATTCCTAGGATTTCTGGGCATGAATGATTTTACTGGGTTCAGAAAGGGTTTCTAGGCAACTTTTCTGCAGAGTGATCAAGATTGTTCAATCTGATTCTTGAATGATATCCTAGGATTTCTGGGCATGAATGATTCTAGTTTCTGGGCATCTTTTCTTCAGAGTGATCAAGAATTCAAGATTGTTCAATCTGATTCTTGATTGATATCCTGGGATTACTGTTATGCATATTGATTGTAGAGGAAGCAGGTTTACCAATAATTTTTCTGGGCAAGAATGATTTTACTGGGATCAGAAAGGTGAGATGTCAACAACAGATAATGTCATGGCTGATGTTTTATTGCTGAGGCTGCTGGGACATGATTGGTCCTATGTTATTTGACTTTACAACACCATTTTTAAATGCCATGATTGAAGCAAATTTTATTCACTGGTTAGAAATATTCTTACCATGATAAGTTATTTGACTTTAAAACACCATTTTTAAATCCCATGACATGGTCAGCTGGTCATTTTGGGGCTGGCATCTTTGACTGCAGTGTTTAAGTCTACAACATCCTAGAGTCTCTGTGGGCCATAATCCACATTGTAATATGGACGATCACTGATAAATGTTTATTTTATTTTTGGGATAAGAGTCAAATAGGTCACTCAACTGCACACAAAATTGCAATTAGGCCATTGAACTAAAAAAGAATGCAATTGAGCCATTGAACAACATAAAAACATGCAATTTAGCCCAAAATGACCTGTTGACCTGTTGTAGCAAGTTACCCATTTTTAATTAATTTTTAAAAATAATTTTTAATTTTTAATAAATAATTAATTAAATTAAAATTAAAAAAAAAAAAAACAGAAAACAGAAACAGCCGGCCGTTTCTGTTTTTTTTTTTTTTTTTTTTTTTAAATTATTTATTAAAAATTATTTTTAAAATTTAATTAAAAAATAGGTAACTTGCTACAATAAGTAAACAAGTCATTTTGGGCTAAATTGCATGTTTTTGTGTTGTTCAATGGCGCAATTGCATTCTTTTTTAGTTCAGTGGCCTAATTGTATTTGTGTGTGCAGTTGAGTGGCCTATTTGACCCTTATTCCTTTATTTTTTAAACTTAGGTGTCTCAGGTTTGTCGGACTAATCTTGAGCTTACAACACCTCGCGCCTAGAGTTGAGTTACTGCGGAAGTAAATTGCGAGTCTGGCAACGCACAAAGGATCCAAATAATGAACCTTCAGTACACAAAAAAATAACATTCAAAAAATAAACATTTAGGGCTCGATTACTAACGGAAACCGTTTTATGTTTTTTAATTTTTCAATTTTCATTCTCTGTTTTCTGTTTAGAAAACTTGTTTATTAACACTTATTTTTTAAAATTTATTTTTTTAGATTAACCTATAAAATTAACAAAAGTTTAATTTTGAGTGATTTTTAGACCTTATATTTAAAATATTTAAGATATATTTAATTTGGTTTAAATAGAATAAATATAATTTTTACTTTTAACTCTAATATATGTAAGATTTTTACCTTTGATATCTGAATCAAATTTATATATGTATATAATATATATAACTAAAAATACCCGAACCAATAACCTATTAAGTTCACCTAAAATTTAGTTCAAATAATATTAATATTTTTGAGTTAATATTTAAAATTTTTTTTTTGATATATTCATTTGAATGACATGTATATAGATATATAATTGTTACTTGAATTCTAATATATATGTAAAATTTCAATATCTGATATCCGGACCAAATGTATATTACGTTATAGCATAACTAAAAATATCTAAACCAATAATCAATTGAGTTCAATTAAAATATAAAACTTTGTATAGAGTTAAATTTTTAATTTTGATAATGTGAATAATGTCTAACTTTAAACGTAAGCAATTAAGTTATGTTTAAATAAGTAATGCAAGTAGAAAAGATAAAAGATGGTGATAAGTAAAAGAAGATGATAATGAATGTAATCATAGTAATTAATAAATATGTAAATAGATAATGGTAAAAATGTGGTTATAGTGACGTATAATCAAATAGATTATAAATTATTTTATTTTCCATTTAGAATACAATTTTTAATAGTTTTACAATTGAAAAGTTATTTCCTCTTTCAAAATGAAAAATCCTATTAGTAAATATGTTTTTTATTTTTTATTCTCCAATTCTCTAATTTTCCAAAAACCTGTAGAAATTTTTCAGTTAGTAAACGGCTCTTAATGTATTAAAAATAAATCTTCAATATACTAAAATGTAAACTATGGTCCATGGTATAATAATTGAGCTAGCATTCAACATGTTACCCTTTTCTTCTCTATTATTGCTTACACTGGAGCTGGGGCAACTTTTACTTGTTCGACTAATTTAAAACAATGTTAGATAAGAAAATTGGGGCTGCGAAGACAAGTTAATACTTTTGAGTTTAAGGTGCAATTTTTTACTATGATACCATAAATACTCTCCATTTGGGGTTTACAAATTTTTTTTTTTAAAAATTATTTAATATGATGACTCAATACATAAGTTCTTTTTTCCTCTTGCAACCATCAAGAAAAGTACGCCATATTGAAGCATTTGGAGGGAAAGGCATACTGGCAATGAATTTTTCAGCTTCTGCAACATGACCATACCTAGCCAACAAATCAACAACAATCAAATAGTGATCCATTTCTGGTTCAAACCCATATTTCGCTTTCATTTCCCCAAACAGAGCCATCCCTTGTTCAATAAACCCAACATGTCTGCAAGCTGAGAGGATTGCCATGAATGCCATCTTATCAGGCTTAATGCCCTCCCCAGTCATCTCGTCGAATTTCCTTATCGCTTCGTGGGCATAGCCGTGCAGGCCGAGGGATGAAATCATAGCTGTCCACGAAAAGACATTCCTTTTGGTGGTGTTGTTAAATACCTTTGTTGCACTGTCGAGGCTCCCACATTTCGCGTACATGTCAATCATGATGTTGCAGACGAATGTGTCGCAGGAGCTGAAATCGTTCTTGATGAGTAGACCATGAAGAGAGCTGCCCAGGCCGAGGTTGCAGAGTCTGGTGCAGCTGCTGAGGAGGCTGACGTATGTGTAATTGTCGAGAGAGACTCGAGCTCTCCTCATGTGTCCAAAGAGTTCAAAAGCCTCTTTGTGATCACTGTTTCGAGAGCAAGCTGCGATCAGAATGTTCCAAGATCTAGTGTCGGGGTCCTCGAGTGTGGAAAATAACTCCAGAGTCTTGTTATACTCGCCAATTCTGTTGTATATCCCAGCTACCACATTTGTGGAGACAACATCAAGCGGCATGTCATTAACAGCTACGAAGCGTAAGGCGTCAGTTATCAAACCATTTTTGGCATACCCGCTTATAAGAGAGCTTGATGCATAAGAATGCTCGAGGTAACCCGTCTTTACCAACCACGAGTGAAGCTGGAGTAATTCTACCACTGATGACGCTTTGATAACAATAGAAAATGAGAAGCCATTCGGATAAAAACCCAGGCGGATCATCTCTCGCAACAGCAAAATGGATTCAGGAGAGCCTCTATTCGAGTATCCCAGCATCAATGTGTTCCAAGAAACTAAACTCTTTTCACATATTTCATTAAAACAGCGACGTGCTTCTTCCAATTTATCGAATTTGACATAAAATTCCGTCAAAGCACTGCCCACGTACACATCATTTTCAAGCTTCTTCTTGATAACTTGTGCATGCAAAGCTTCTCCACATGACAGATTCTGCAGCCTAGAGCAGGAGTGAAGAGCACTAACAAATGTTATTTCATTCGGGGAGAATCCATTAGCATATATTTCCAAGAAAGCACCCAATGCTTTGTCTGGTGTATCACTCTTTGCCATTGCACCAATCACTGTGTTCCATGAAACAATGTCCTTAATTGCCATCTCCTCAAACATTTTCTTTGCAGTGTGAGCACCAGAGCATTTGGCATACATGTTAACCAGAGAATTCTTAACAGAAACTGCATTATCCAATCCATACTTCACTGCAACTGTGTGAACTTGCTCTCCTAATTCCATATCATGTATCCCGAGGCAACCAGATAGAAGGCCCACAAATGTGTACTCAGACAAATCCGTTCCACTCCTGAGTATTTCAACAAACATAGTCATCGACGTTTCAACAAATCCATGTTGTCCAAGCAATAGAATCATAGAATTCCATGTAACCAAGTTCTTTTCAGGCATGCTATCAAAAATCTGGCAGGCCTCGTGTAAACACCCGCACCTCCCAAGCATAGCCAACAGTGCAGTCCCTACAGTAGCATCAGTGTTAAGCAATGATGTCTTCTCAATCAGTGCATGCAATTGCACCACTTGATAATGATCCAAGAACTCACATGACAACAGCCCCCCGAAAGTAAACTGAGTGGGCTTAAATCCACACCTCCTCATCTCAGAAAACAGTCCCCAAGCCTCTTGTACATTCCCATCTCGACAATAGGCAGCAATCATCGTGTTGAAAGACACAGCATTTCTAAACGGCATTTCCTCAAACAGTTCCCGAGCAACATGTACATTACCAAAAAGAACATACTTCGACAGTATATTGTTGAAAGGGAAAACGGGCTGTGTTGGTGTAGAGCCAACCTTGATGGTGAGCGCATGAAGAGACTTAGTTCTGCAAAGTGAATGAATTTGAACCCATGTTGAAGGTTCTTGAAGTAGTTGTGTGCCTTCAAGGTGTTTGACATTTTCTCCATGATAAATACAGTTCTCTATAGAGGTTGAAAGGTGGAATTTTGGAGTAACGCGTAAATGGATTTTGATGGTGGAAAGATTTGGAGTGATGGAAGCCAATGAGATTGGCTTTCTCATGCATTCATGTCCTCTAAGTTGTCACTGGCTTCACGCATAGTCAGGTCATATAGGTGAACCAATATTATTTTGGTGCAAACTGGAATAGCAATTTCAACTACAAAGTACTAGACGTCTAGACTGACTGGCAGACACTTTGATTTCAGCCACTCAAATAGCCCTGCATAATAAACAAAGATTAAAGTGAAATTGCCAAAAATTAGCCATGCTAAAGAAATGCAAAATTTTCTATAACTTCAAACTTATCATGCAGAATTTGAATAGTTTAGAACAGAGTGTTGAGCATATAATATATATAAACATAAATGTACAATTGCTTAGGCTTTTAGTTGAGAATCAAAGGTATACTAACAAGTAACAATCAGACTAACATCAGTATTAATTTATTCCTTCAAATATGCCTTCAAAGTTCAACCTCTTCAAAGGTATACTAACAATTAACAATCAGACTCATAAGCATGACAAAATTAAAATAAAAACACATTTAATACAGCTAATTTAATTTCAAAACACATTCGATAGTTCAATACAGTGATATACAACTATATAATGATATACACTGACATTAAAATTAAAATTAATAAATCACCTGTGGTTGGACTGGTTGCCTAGGAAGCTTCATTGGAGGCAGAGGCAGTGGGAGACTGGCGGTGGAGGGAGAGGCCGGAGTGGGCGACCGCCGATGGAGGGAGAGGCCGGAGTGGGCGACCGGCGGTGGAGGCAGAGGATGGAGTGGGCGACCGGCGGTGGAGGCAGAGGCTGGAGTGGGCGACCGGCGGTGGAGTGGGCAACGGCGAGGGAGTTAGGGACTAGGGTTGGCACTTCGCGACTTTGGCTTGGAACGGCGATGAGTCTGGTACACTGGTGCCTGCTAAACTACTTTAAAATTATAAAATTAATCCTCCTCTAAAATTTTTTGAATAATTATAAAACTTATTCAGTATTTTTTTTTTTTTTTTTTAAATTCTCAACCATTGATAGATCTAATGAAGGCTTAAAAGTTAAAATCACCCGCATGGGCAGCTTAACTGGTCACCGAGGTGAAACTTTGAAAGAATTACCAGAGATTGAGTCTCACCAGCGGCAGTGTGGGAGTAACCTCTCAAAGGGGGTTCATGTTCAGTTGAGTTACCATGATTTACATCCTCCCAAATGCTCAAAGGGGGTTCATGTTCAGTTGAGTTACCATGATTTACATCCTCCCAAATGCTCTGTTGAGTTACCATGATTTACATCATCCCAAATGCTCTGTTGGGTCGGGGTGGTTTATGTTCAGTTGAGTTACCGGGGTGTAGGGGACCCTTAGAAAGAATGAAAGCTTAAAATCAGTCATCACTTTATATAGAAGTACTCTTATCTTATTTGATCTTTTATATGCTGTTCAGTTGAGTTACCATGATTTACATCCTCCCAAATGCTCTGTTGGATTGGGGTGGTTCATGTTCAGTTGAGTTACCATGATTTACATCCTCCCAAATGCTCTGTTGGGTCGGGGTGTAGGGGACCCTTAGGAAGAATGAAAGCTTAAAATCAGTCATCACTTTATATAGAAGTACTTTTATCTTATTTGATCTTTCCCTTATTTTATGCCGTCAAAACGGGCTTTTCTACCCCGTCCCGCCAAAAGGACGGGGCGGGCTCGTGTTTAAAAAACCTGTATAAAAAATAGACATTTTTGCCCGCGCCTAGCTCGCGGACTAACCCGCCAGCCTACCTTTTTATTTTTAAATTTTTTTTTTTGTAAAGTCTAAATCCTAATCCTAATCATAAATGGCTAAATTCCTAAAATAAAAATTAAAAACAAAACTGAAAGTCTGAAACTAAAAGCCCTAAGCAGAACTCCCTATTCCCAAAATCAGTTTTGCGATTCGTTTCTCCATCGCCAACCCTGTCGTCTGTGACACTGCGGTTTGCCGGCCACGAAAGCGACGTTGCGGTTGCCGCCGCATCCGGCATCACAGCCGGCCAGTCGACCACGAGTCACCAATTCACCACGACTAGCAGTCCAGCCATCCAGCAGCGAGCTAGCGAGCAACAAGATTCTCCGAAGTCTGAAAACTACATTGCAGGTATTTATTTTCCTTTTTTTTTCCTTTCTCGTTCATTTAATTAATTTTATAGTATACATATGAATGATATGATTAGTAGTTTACATTATTACATATGAATATATTATATATGATTACAAACAACAGTGTACTGATTTGTTTTTATTTTTATTTTTATTTTTTTTTATTATAAAAAAAATAGAGTACTGATTTTGTAATTTAGACATTTACTGCACGTTTGGTTCACGGAATGAATTTTGAGGTAATAGGAATGCTATTCCATAAGGAATGGAATAGGCAAGGAATAGAATATGAATTGTATTCTATTGTTTGGTTCGCGGAAGGAATAGACTTTAGGAATTATATTACAGTGTTTGGTTGATTTAAGGAATAGAAATGAAATATGTTTTAAAAGACATAAATACCCTTATAAAAATATGTGATGGCGGTGGCGGTGGCGGTGGCGGTGGCGGTGGCGGTGGCGGTGGCGGTGGCGGTGGCGGTGGCGCTGGGGTGGCGGCGGTGGTGCTGGGGTGGTAGTGGTGGCGGTGGCGGTGGCAGTGGTGGTGACGGTTGTGGCAGTGGTGGTGGTGACGGTGACGGTTGTGGCAGTGGTGGTAGGGGCGGCGACGGTTGTGGCGGTGGTGGTGGTGGAGGTGCTGCTGCTGGGTGGTGGTTTTGGTGGCGGTGGTGGTGGTGCCGGGGTGGTAGTGGTAGTGGTAGTGGTGGCAGTGGCAGTGGTGGGGGCGGCGACGGTTGTGGCGATGGTGGTGGTGGGGGCGACGGCGGCGGTGATGGTGGTGGTGGTGGCGGCGGCGGCGATGATGGTGATGGTGGTGGTGGCGATGACGGTAGTGAAATAGGATAAATTTATATATAGGATAAAAAAATTAGGTTAAAGAAATGGGTAAAAAAGAAAATAGAGTCTAAAATCTATTCCTGAGCATTCAGTAATAGGCTAATACCAAGGGGCCCCTAGTAATAGCTATTACCTTATTTGAGGTAATAGGCTATTATCAGGAATATTATTCCTGTAATATTACCAGGAATATTATTCCTGGTAATAGAAATGGTTATCAAACAAAGGAATATGCCTATTACTGGGAATGCTATGCCATTCCCGGCCTATTCCGTGAACCAAACGGGCCATTAGTGTATATAATTACTGATTTAGTGTATTGTGTCATTTGTACTGATTTAGTAATTTAGTGTATATAATATTATAATTACTGATTTCGTGTGTACTGCTCCGTCTGCATAGACTGCTCGTGATGGATTCTGTTTCTTTGAACCAAACTAATGATACCATTGCCGATGATGTTGTTGATGGAATGCCGGGATTGGATAGTTCTACAAAGAAAGGTAAGTCTAAAAAACTTACCTCTGATGTGTGGACTTTTTTTACAAAGATTCCAATTGGTGAAGATGATATTCAAATGCCAAAATGCAATGGTTGTTTAAAATAATTTAAAGCTTGGGGGGAAAGAATATGGAACTTCTACATTAAAGAGACACAAAGACATATGTAGGATGTTAAAGTATCATGATGTTAGCCAATTGTTTGTTAATAATGAAGGCAGACTTGCATCTAGGAAAGTAGATCCAAATGTTGCTAGGGAGTTGTTAGCTTCTGCAGTCATCAAACATGATTTACCATTTTCATTTGTTGAATATGATGGTATTAGAAAATGGCAAAAGTATTTGAATCCCAATGTGCATTGTATCTCTAGAAACACACTTGTGTCTGGCATTACCAAACTCTACTTTCAAGAAAAAAGAGAAGCTTAAACAAGTGTTGGCAAATCTCAAAAACAAAATTTGTTTAACTTCTGATGTATGGACTGCATGCACTAGTGAGTGAAATATTTGCTTAACTGGGCACTTTGTTGATGGGAATTGGAAATTGAATAGCAAGATATTTTGCTTTGCTAAGATGCCCCCACCACACACATGATGTGAATTAGCTGCAAAAATATTTGAATTTTTGAAGAATTGGGGAATTGAAAGAAATGTGTTCTCTTTGACATTAGATAATGCATCTTGTAGTGATAGTATGCAAAATATTTTAAATGAGCAATTAGCTTTGCATGATAGTTTGTTGTGTGATGGAGATTTTTCCACATTCGTTGTTCAGCCCATATATTAAATCTCATTGTTCAAGATGGATTGAAAGTGGTTAATTTAACTTTGCATAAAATTAGGGAGTCTGTCAAATATGTGAAAGGTTCTGAGGGTAGGATGAAGAAGTTTGAAGAATGTATAAGTGCAGTTGGTAACATTGATACTAGTATTAGTTTGAGATTGGATGTGGTTACTAAGTGAAACTCCACATATTTAACGTTGGAAAGTGCTATCAAGCACAAAAGGACATTTGTTTCTCTTCAATTGAATGATAGACATTATAAATTTTGCCCTTCAAATGAAGAATCGAAAAAAGGTGAGAAAATATGTGAGTTTCTTGAGCCATTTTATGAGGTGACAAATTTGATTTCTGATTCTTCCTATCCTACCTCAAATCTATATTTTATACAAGTTTGGAAGATTGAAAGTATGTTGAAAGAAAATATGGATAATGAAGATGTCTTGATAAGTGGAATGTGTAAAAAGATGTTTGACAAATTTGATAAATATTGGAGTGACTATAGCCTAGTGCTTGAGCTATTTTTTTATCCAAGGATAAAGCTTGTAACATTGGAGCATTTATATGAGGAGGTTCAAAGTGACCAACTAAACTTAAAGAAATGAGTTCACATTTGAAGACAAAGTTGAACAAGCTTTTTAGTGCTTATGCGGATATTATTACTCCACCTCCTTCCCAACCACGATTTTCTCAAGTCACATCTTCAAGTATGCAAAGTGAAAGTTTTGGTAAAAGTCAAAGAAAAAGAGCATTTGAAGTAAGTATTTTAATTAACACTTCAATTTTTTTTTTTTTTTGAATGCTACTAGCTCTATTACATTGTAGTATCTGTTCATATACTTTCTCAACCTACTGAAACACAAAGAGCTAATAACGCCTCCACTGAGGCTCGAACTTACAACCTTCCAAATGGAAGTCCAACCCGGGTAAATTAACACTTCAATTTATATATATATTTTTTCTATATTTGCATTTGTGATTGTGATAACATGTTTAATGTTTTAAATTTTAATTTCTAAGTTCTAACTAATGTAGGCAATTAAGAAGTATGAGAGTCGAACTGTTAAGACTGTTGGAAAGTCAGAATTGGAAATTTATTTGGAGGAGCCAAAACTTGAATATGCATACTATGAGGATTTGAATATCTTGGATTATTGGAAAGAACGTATGCATAGATATCCTGCACTTGCATTGATGGCACGAGATGTTTTGGCTATCCCAATTACTATTGTTGCATTGGAGTCGGCATTTTCTATTGGTACTCGTGTGCTCACCAAGTATAGGAGTTATACTTTGCCTGAAAAAGTGCAAGCTCTTATTTGCACTACAATTGGTTGCATGGTTATGCTATTGGTAAGTTATTATGTTTGTTTACAAAATAATGAAATATTAGATTATATTTTAGGTAATTGATATTTTGGTGTATTGTAATTGAATTTTTAACTCTCTTTTATGTTGAATTTTATGTAGATACTGAAGAAAGTTCAAGTGCAACATCAAATTTGTCATTTGAAGATTCAAATGTTGTGGATCTTGTTGATGACAATGATAAAAATAAAGATGAAGATGATCTGAATGTTGGAAGTTTGAATGATGTAATGGACATATGAATTTATGAACTTATGTAGTTAATTAGTTATGT